TGACTGCGTGTACCACCGGCGGTACACGTGGCCTGACGATCAAGTTTTGGTCGATCCGATTTTTACCGTGTACCACCGGTGGTACACGTGGCACGGAACGTGTTAATCCGTCATTGGATAGGGAAATAAACATTCACGTTTTATATGCTGATATTTAGGCTTTATTATAATTTGATTTGCCGTATGCAAATCGAATACAATTTTATACTATAATTATAATCTTCAACTAGTGGTTCAGTTGTCTTCAACGTTAATTGTAATTCTTAATTTTGGACTAATCCCGGCAGGGGCAGAACAAGACCTCCATTCCCACCGAGTCCAGGAATCTGGGAAAGAATACCAGAGCCAGATGCACTCTGGGATGCACTCTGAGATGCGCTTCCACTGCCACCAGTCATTCCTCCAAGAATGGAAGGAACTTGGGAAAGAACACCAGAGCTAGATGCACTCTGAGATGAGCTGCCACTGCCACCAGTCATTCCTCCAAGAATAGAAGGAACTTGGGAAAGAACACCAGAGCCAGACGCACTCTCAGATGCGCTGCTACTGCCACTAGTCATTCCTCCAAAAATCGAAGGAACCTGAGAAAGGACACCAGAACTGGATGCACTCTCAGATGCACTTCCGCTGGCAGCGGCAATTCCATTAACAATCGAAGGGAGTTGAGAAAGAATAGGACTCGCTGCGTTGGTTGCGTCGGCTACACTCTCGCTGACAGAGCTGGCGCTGCTAACCACGTTCGAAGTGATCGAAGGAATTTGACTGATAATAGATCCAGCGTCACTTGCGCTGCTTTGACCACCGAGTGAGTTTAGGTTGAGCCATGGAAGTTGAGACCAAAACGAGACGTCTCCACTGAAGCCACTCAATACGTTGTTGAGTTGAGTCAATTGTGAAAGAAGCTGACTGAAGTCGAACCCTGGAGTAGTGGCGCTGTCAGATGTGGATTCAGTACTGAATAACGAAGTGATTGATTGCATTGGACTTTGACAGTTCAGCTCCAACAGTTGTCGAATTATTTTCAGTTGTTCCATTAACTCTGCGTGACTCGGTTCTCCGAGGAGTTCGCCACCCACCATGGACACATGATTCGTCTGAATGAGAGAAATAGATGTTTCATTAAAAAATTCAATAAATTTTCTTGAATGAATTATGCTACTTGAATGATACGAGGGTTAATAAAACACGGCACAGGCCATCTAATATTTCTCAGTTAATATGGAAAAATATCTTTCGTGATAAATGCATATCCCGACTCATTCGTTTCAATTCCGTTTACTACACGTAATACGTCAAAGTCATACGCATGTTTTCGCAGCAGAAACTAGTTCACTTACTTTCAGCAAGACGACGAGCAACAGAGACGTAGAAACGAATTTCATTCCGTTCATGATTCAAACCTCTGCGCGATCCGCTCGAATTTCACTTAATATCTGAGATTTCAGTGGACGTTCTCGAATGTCCAAATCGATTACAAGACCGCTTTTATATCTCCGACTTACGCTGAACCGTTCCATCTTCGCACGCGAATTACGAGATAACAAATATTGTGTATTTTCCGTTGTTCCATTATCCGCACGAATTTGATTGACGCAACGGTACTCACACAAATGAGAGCGCGATACAGCACGCGTCAGAATTTTCTTAAACGGACACACGCTACGTCGCAGGGGAAGAGAAATAAAACACGTTCAGAATTGTATGCATGTACATTGCGCGCTGACAGCGGGGTTTCACAATAACCATCGCGCCCCGTTACGGTTTTATATTTAGAGCAACCTTGATGAAAAAGTACACGTGCCGCTCGAAATACAACCGTCCGATTACAATTTAATAAAAACAAAACGAGATCATGTATACATTTATTGATCGAATCACGACAAAACGGGAACGGGGCTCGAATAACATTTTTTAATCGGCGCAACGCGCTGAAAAATTCATTTCTCTCGGACAAAACGAACCGTAAATAATATTAACTGGCATATTGTTTTACCGTGCAAACATTTTTCCACCTACCTGGGCAAAGGCAATCGATAGTCCTTTGTCGATGACTATGTTTATCACTATGAATAATGAAATGCAGAAATGAAATACATTTGTTACGAAAATCTGAATTTTCGTAAAAACTGGGAAATGTATTTATTCCATTGGAATAAGAAAATCGAATGAGCAAAATTTCATGGATACGTCAATTGAAAGACAAACTCTTCATTCAATTACAAAATGATTCTGTGCGATTTAATGAAAAACTGAATTCTTTCAACTCAATTAAAAATCAACCGTCCGGCGTTCAATCAGAAATTGGTTTCGAAATTGTTTTAACTGAATTTAATATGGACGATCCTTCAACGTTGAAGGGTCGAGCGCGGTTCGTTGGAGTTTTTTCTGAACTATTTCCAGCGTTCGATTACTATTTGAAAATCAGAAACCAGGCTATTAACAGCGGCCTGACCTAATTGATCCAGTTTTCGTTATCGACAAATATAAATGGTGCTCTAATGAATCGCGTGAAAGCATTTCCAACGCTCTGAATCTGATTACTTGGCACCCGGGGCTGCGCGGGGACGACGGGGAAATCGTGATTCGCTGCAATTCTGACTGCGTTAAATGAAACTCACATCCAGGATCACTGTTTAAGTGAACAATACTTGATTCAACGTACGCATAAACATCCTTTTCAAAATGGATAGCCCCGTTTAAGGATGTATTGACTATACNAATACATCCTTAATGAAACAGACGCTGGGAATGTAGCACCGATCCATCGAGATCATTCATGTACACTTTCACAGTACACTTTCCCTATAAAATGGAAATTCGTGTTGCAGTGTAATTGCAGATATCCATCATGATGTAGTTTAGGTGATTCGAGTCTATATTTGTCAAGAAGGAATCTCAATGACAAATCCTACGGAAATCATTCATATAACAAATCAAATCAAAAGAATGAACTGCGATTTAGTTGGATAAATAAACAATTCCATTTATAGAAAATTTATTGTTTCTTGTATGACAGGATAACAAGCAATGGTTACATCGTTCAGGAATCTATTAATCGACGAAGCAAAGTGGTCGTATTTTATCGGTCCGCGCGAGAATTGTGCGACGGGAATTAATTCGACACGTTCCATCCCCCGTTCTGCGACGCAAATACCGGCGAGCGCACGTGGACAACAATGAATCCCAATAAACGGGGCAATTTTACGGTAACACGGAGAAAACAGGAGAGGAGGGAGCGAAGCGGCCTGGTAATTCTCGTAATGGCGCGACACGCTCAACGGGGTCTCTAATGCACTCGGCAAAATAGAAATACGGGTCAGCAGCGATTCAAGAATTACAAAAATTAGCTTCGCCGTCTCATTTAAAAAGGATAAGGTATTAAGTGCATAGAAAATGTTCGCTCAAACGTACCTAATAGACAATTCCTATAAAACATTAGATATTATTCAAATGATTCGTGCCACTTTATGCATGACTAGAATTTGCATTTCACTTTTTCAAACATTGTAAATCTGCGTTCCTAATTTTTCAAGTATAAACTGTTTATATAATATATAAATATATATATATAAAAATAGTAAATCCTATTTAATGGACATTGACTTACTATGAAACATAATATAAATTATTAAAACACTGAAAGGAAAAACGGCGTTACACTGAGGCGGTTGATAGGAAATAACTTAACTCAATCTCGCTCTCAATTATTTATTTCACACGGACGATGGTACAGGACAGATTCCGATCCGGCGGCCTAAGACTAACTGACTCAATTAATGGTGACCCCGACGTGATATTCCGCACTTACATACTACATGGAAAGAAAGATAGTAGTAATGGAAGAAACGAAGAAGGAAAGTGGAAAAAACCGAAGAGAAAGTTAAAAGAGAAGAACAGTCCTTGAGGTCGCCCAGGTCTGGTCACCAAATGTGCTTGATGATAACCAGGCCCGGACGAACCCTTGAGAGCGGAGAAATCTGAAGAAAAGGCAGGAAATCGTAAATACTGAAGAAAGCTAGAAAAGAGAAAACTACAGAAAATAAAAATAAATATAATGAATTACGAATTCGTTGACGCAAGGGCGAATTGGCTGTTAATATACACGCCACAACACTAATTACTGAAATATGCATATGCACATAATTTCAGATCGAACATGTACAATAATGATCGATTGGGAGATCGGTTAATTTAGTTCACAGCTCGCGATTAAACTGGTCCCTTATCGGGATTGGAACCGTCGTGTTTTCCGGAACAGTTGGCCGGAAATTTATCGACCGGACGGACGGGGAGCAGTTGTAACTGCGCGTCTTGTCGCCCTATATTGTTTTTCCGTTATCTTTGGGAATGGTTTAGATTACTCGCGCTTCCGTAGTTGGCATTCGAAGCGAGGTGGCCGAGCGAAACAATTCCGGCACTAGGCGGGATGCAACGACGTCTCCCGTGTGCCAAGCGATAAGCCTCCGGGCCGAGCTTAAGCACAAAAGCACACTGGCTACTGTATAATGGAGAAGTGTTTTGCCTTCGGGAATATTACACCGACAGGAGTAAGCTATCGATCAGTCTAAAATTTATTTGGGCCTCGAAGCGAATTCCATGGCGAAAACGAGACGGTGGGGAACGATTCTTGCTGGTTCGTTAATTGAAGGATTCAAGGGAGTTTGATAGATCCTTCCGGAGGAAGGAAACGGTAGGAAATCTCGAGTTAACGTTTATTTAATGGAGACGGCGCGGTGCGGTGAACTGTTGGACGGGTACCGGCGTTATTTGAAAGTCAAATTAAACGAGTGAAGAAAGGATGGCAACGATCGTAACGAGAATGAATGGGAAACCGATGGCCGGGTATCGCTCGCGATCGATTCCAACAGCTGGAAACGGCGCCGCGAATTCGTTAAACCGAGGAACTGTAAATACCTGACAGGGTACATCCACTTTCACTTAGTACACGCTCAATTTAAATCATTAGTCAGTCATTTATTAAGCTGCTGCATATAAAATGTTTCCGTCAACTGCAGCAGGTGTAGTTCCCACAGGATATCGTGTGTCTAATTTGTATAATTTATCAGTTATCTCTATTCTATTCGAAATGATTAAATAATCTCATTATCCAACCCGTATCAAAGTTTGTGTTACATAATTTCATTTCGAGTGATTTCTCTCGATTAATTATAATAATCAACTGATTATATAATATTATAAACCTCGCTGACTAATTGAATTTATTTGATCTTCTATTCGCGAGAGATCACGCCGGTGGAACTGCAAGCTCATCAATGTAGAAGAATTTCGCACACGTCGCTGGAGATAGAGGAACTCCGTAACGGCTTGTATCGAATCTCCGGCACGTAGGAAGACGCAAACCGAGTTGAATTCGAGTACGTCGGTGTAGCGGTGCAGTCGCGAATTTCGGTTCTTATCGTGGCGTTGCGTCGTTATCACCGGTGGCTACCGCCTCGCGAAGTCACGAACGCTCGATGAATCTCCGTCTCTGATTGTCTATGCTACGTGATGTATCATCGCCACGTCGCACGCCTCTGTTTCCCGATCGGACTGGATTTCCAGATCACTTTTTCTTTAACAGAATCTTGATTGTTCGTTTAAAAAATTTTCTCATGTCGCTTTTACTAGATAGACTTGATTTTTCATTGTACCTTCGGTTAGTTCGTTTCAAAGGCAGCATTCCGTAGTCGACCTTTGATGTCGAATCGAGCGATGAAGATAATGCTCGTGTCTCCTGGCCGTGACCCGAGGCGATAGTATCTCTAAGGAGAGAAAAATAACCCGTTAACAAGGGGTAGGTGGAGCCTCGCGTGCGTCGAATCGAACCGTTCAAGGTGTCGATGCTAGTCGAAGAACTTTCACGTGTCGAAACTGTCGTTTACGTCAGAACGTTTTATATTTACTCGCACAGTTTTTAGTAATGATTCACTGAATGTTTTAAAGAGTCTAACTGGTCTGGGTATTGCTGAGAACGGTATTTAAAGACGTTCCACGTAGCTGAATCGATTTATTATCTTGCGGAGGGTGAGAAGGGGACTTACAAATTCGCTGGATTCACCGCGATGCACCTTGTCAGCCGGAAATCATGCTCCTCTTTGAAATTCCGCCCTAGAAATTCTACCCGGAGAATATCCGCATCCATCAACGTCCTTGCTTTTCTCAAATGCAAACTGATACTTTTCTCTCGTGGAACTTCGCCCATTAACATTCCCCTTTCCATTGACATAGTACTTACATCCAACGTTTATTTCCATACTATTTGCAGCAACAATTTATAACAGATAAACAATCTTTGATGTTGACATTTAATAAAAATTTAATATTAATTTTTTTACGAAGGATACAATCTGAGATTAATCTTAACACTTTCACAACGGCATGTTTGCTCAGTGAAACGTCGCCAGTGGCCGGCAATATTTTGGAAGAATTCATGAAATAATTAACATTATTATTATAAATCAATAATCAACATTATTATACATAAAGTTTTGCAAGTGGCTTGCCACTAGTACCACGTGAGAGTCACCGGCAAATAGCGTCTGGGCTATCAATGGTACCACGTGAGTGTCACCGGCAAATAACGACTGGCCTACCCATGACACCACATTGGTGTCAACGGTTGTGAAAGTGTTAAGAATTTGTTTATATTTATTGTTAACGCTAGTGAAACCGATTATTGTATTTCATTTTGTCTATTGCTCTTTCGGAAAGTAATTTCTTTCAACACGAATCTCCCTTGTCACGTTCGGCTACCATTAACAATGTTTTTTAATTCCCCGTGAAAAATATCCACGAGCGAAACCGTATTGAATTTCCGCTGTTTCCTATATTCCTACGCAACGCTTCCATGATATATTCGAGAGTCCAGGAAGAAGAGAGAGAGAGAGAGAGAAAGAGGCGTTTTAAGTGGTCGGAGGAACCATAAGTTAAACGGAACAGCATAAAAGGCTTGACGCGACACCAAACACGATGAGCAAACGGCCCATTTGTTTGCCGATTGATCGACGTTCCCCGAGTAGGTATATCGGCTTTAACTCGTCATTCCCGGTGCAATAAACAGTTTAACGCTTCGACACGTTGGCAAAAAATAGTGGCAAAAATAGAAGGACCAGTGATTGAAAAAGAATAATCCGACCGATCGACTGGGACGAATTAAACTTGCTGAATAATTAAAGATTCATTTATTATACTGTCGATGAGTCGTGAACGAAGATACCATCGAGCCACGATTTCATAATATCTTATCCTCTTTTCTGATTATTCGCTTATTACAATTATTTTCCAATACCGAAGGATTGTGCGAGCATTTTGAAAATTCCCAGAATAGCCAGTAAAAATCGGTTTAACGAGACAAGCGAGAAATCAAATACATATTGTTAAATGTCGATTTTCCAGCGATCGTGCAATAAACAGTTTTTTTAATTGAAAGAACGTTCAATCAGTTGAAATAAATGGGAGGCCGACTGGTTTACAGATAGGAGCGCGGCGGAACGGATTAAATTAACACAGGCCGGTGTAATATCGGGAAACGTTGAAAAACTCCGTTTCTAATATTCTCGCTTTACCGTTCATTATATCTCGGTTACCGTTGAGTTAAAAGCCGGCGCCGAGATTGCTGCAATTACGGTTAATTACACAACGGTAATTAGCAATTCCGTTTGGGGCGGGTCACATCTGCCGTGATATTGCAGCTCGTAGAAGCCGAACGACCGTCATCGTGCTCGCGTGCGTCGATCGCGAAAATGATATTTAACGGGCGGACGGATTTCATCCTGACTAACTAAGACCGGGTTATAAATTACACCGTACAACACGCCTATGGAGCGTATTCACCGCGACGCCAATTTGTTTCCCATTACGAGCTCGCAACGCTTTCTATTACAGACATAACGCAAACGGAATAATAATATTTCCTGATGTTAATCGAGCCGCGCAACTCGCGCGAAATTCTGAACGATACGGGAAGAAGCGGTTAATTAATCGAGTTGGCGATCGAAGGAGAAAGCCCGCCGCGTCGGGTTTACTCGCAAGAATAATACTAATATATTAACGTGTACGAACGTTTTACTGTGTTCGCAGAATGCTCTTTTGCAAATGCAGGAAAATTTGTTCGCGGCGCTCGAATTTCTTCTGGAGGCAAGCCGGAAAACAGCGGGGATTTCCGGCGGATATACCGCGGAATCCGGACGAGGACGGAAGTCGGATGCGGAAGTCACCGCTTTAAATAAGCTCGCAGTTTGCTTTCGCCTGCCAACAGCTCCTCCTACCATCGACGCTACTTTTTACTTTTAGTTCCTATCCCGAATACCTTTAAATTATTCAACTGTTGATATTAAAAACTCATCTATCATTTGGTAAAAAGAGATAATTATGAAGAATGTTTTTAAAAAGCCAGCAGTTCCTTATACAAATTAATTCAACACCCAAGAGTAACACTGGCGATGTTAATGACCTGGTCCGTCACGTTCACTATAAAATTCTTGCGGCACGTTTGTGGTAGTATGAAAAACGGGAAAAATAGAAATACCTCTACGCAACAATCCGAGTTTGAAAGAATCGGTGAAAGTTGAAATAGCGTTTGGCGGGTTCGAGCGCGTCGCCATCCTCCGGATATGCCGGCAACTGATGCCAGTCGTGCTGGAATCGTGGTTAACCCGTTTGCGAACGCGATTCCTACGGTTTATCAGCGGGTTCGTGTCCCAGCTGAAAGCGTGATAGTCCTGATCCGCGCGGAAATATAAATGTGCGGGACCTGTTGCGCACTGCTTGCGCCCCTACGCTGTTTGCACAGTGGTCGGCGCTAAAGTAAGTTAGGGCCGTGGTTATATTAGGAAGAAGTTTGGGGAGATCCTGAAAATCCCCGGCGATCAACCGGGTCGCTGGATTTAAGATCACACGACGTTTTATGGGGTTTCTAATTAAATCAGACCTGAGGTATCCACTAACTTTTTGATCATTTCACATCGTCTTTCATATTCAATGAATTTGAAATAAAAACTTGTTAGGTATGTGGAATAGAAACTTGATTTCGTTATTTCATTCTCGCAAATTACTTTCTGGTAAGATGGAAACTTCTCTTTTGGTTGAAAGTTATTACCGGGGAGATACGAGCGAGATGCGGGTATTCGAAAATCACGGGTGATAGAAGTACAAGCTATATAGGAGTAACTTGTTACCGAGGCTTAGGGGAGCTCGCTGAAATCTTCCAGTTTACGACGTGTCTTCCTTATTCCTGGTTGGTGTTCAGAGAATAAATAGTAAATTACGTAATAAGTGATAGATTTTTATATGCTACCTCGGCTCAACACAATTTCGCGTTTCATTCCGTTTGCACAATTTGTTGACTTTGACATGAATTCATTTTATTCTCGTCAATTCTATACATGAAATATTTGAACAGATTCAAGAAATTAATTGTACAATCATTTCTTAATTTATAAACACTGCCTGTTAATTTTCTATTTTTATTTAAAAAAAACAAGGGCTACGTGTTTCGAATTGTGGCTGGTTTACGACGGAGCAGGGGAGTAATAATAGAAGGGTCTATAAAATTTCGAAATTTGTCTCGGAATTAATCGGAACGAGTGCCGCTCGGAAACTCCCGTAAATCCGCGGAACGACTGTTCCTGTTTATAAAGCTTCTCGGAAGACAGCAAGCTGCGATGCAATTTTCATCCACTCGGGAGCAAAGGAGACTATTTACGTGGGACGCGTCGAATCGCGCTACATATTTAACGAACAGGATCGCGAACCAATCTGAATTCGCGACGCGAGAAAAACTGGCAAGGAGCAAACGCGTAATAATAACTCGCGTCGAAATTGAATTTTCGACGCCCCCTTGAAAAGTCGTTACTGTTTCCTGCCGGAGCTTTACGCCTTTCCAAGCTGCGACAAAAAAGGGTTAATATCCCTTCCAAGGTTATGGGCTATAAATCATACGCTGCCCAATTTGAATAATAAAAGGTCCATAAAAAAGTTGAGCATGCATTGTCTTTCGATTTTCACAATTTCGAAATCGTATCTCTAACGTAAATAATATTTCCAAATTATACACAAACCAAATGTGTGGCCTGCAAATTTATTCAATGGCGACAAGTTTAGAATTAGCCTGAAAGCTTGACAATTTTGATTTAAAGAGTTTAATCAGTTAAGTGTGTTTGACGACTATATACGTCATGGAAGAATGGCAGAATTTTGTGTTATGACGGCTATATCCGTCATCGCTTGATTATCGCGACACACACTGGGGCGCACTTTGCAAAATGATCGACACAGTTAACTGGTTAAAAAGCGTAAGGGAAGCGTCTGACCAGTACCCTGGCTATTCTACTTAAAGGAGCACGTGGCAGGGCGCACGCGTAGGAAGCTAGGCAGCACGTGGCCGGCTCGGGTCCGAGACTCGGTCGATTTCGGAGCGTTTCGTGAGTCGACGGCCGAAACACCGGCGGCAGTCGCGCGCCGGCCGCTGCCACGATAAGGTGTGTTTGTGTTTACGTTCGTCGCGATGAAAATTCGTCCGCCATAGAGGGGTTATGTTTACGCGTGCCGCGGGTACCCGAAGACCGACCACGCATGCCCTTCTGTGTCCACCTTTCCGAAAATCATCCGGCGATCGTCGTCACGTGTCGATTAATAAATCCTTCGTTTCGAATCGAATACGTGCCCTACGATACACGGATCTGCTCGGCGACACTTGACATCAGCCAGTGGACACTTGGTGAGTACCAATCCAACCATTTGTCACATCGCAGAACCATTTAAAAAATGGCTACTACCAAGTATAAATGTAGAATTTCTAACCCTATACGATAAGACACTCGGTTTTCGCTCGATTCTATCGATTTTTATTGACATCGTTGGTGAAAATATTCGATGTACTGATTTGCACTGAAGATTCAAATAGAATTCGATCTTTTGAGATCGATCGAGATGATACAGTCATTCTCTCTTCAATTGGAAAAACAACTGACAAAATGGAGTGAAATATTTTATATTACAACGTCTCTACATTTATTACAGTAATTTAATACTTGAAACACATCGTGTCCTCTATTCTCGTATGTATTTACAAAAACGTCACTTCTCGTTCACAAGTGTCTTTACGAGATACTCTCAGTAAAAGAGGCACGTAAACAGGACCAACATCTGTTGGTTTACGTAACTCCACTCACCGTAGTACGAAAGTTTGTTTGTTTTGCTTGCGGGCACATCAGTCGTTCTGTCACTGAATTTCCTTCTCGTTCACGCCGATATTCGCTGTCCCTTCCACGTGATCGAAACGCGATGCGGTTTATTTCGCCGTTTCGGCATTCGGTCACATCGACGTGGTAGAGGTTCGCTGGTAACAATGGCGCAAGTTTTAATATCCAGCGCTGGTCAGGCGTGTGCGGCCGGTGGAGATGTAAATTATGACGGACGTGTTTCGGACTTGGACCGCCAATAACAATTTTACAATTTCGGCCACTCGGCTCGCTCTCCTGCGCCGCGGACGCACCGGCCCGCGTAATGCGCGAATAAATTACCTCACCCGGAACGATACAAATGACGCCCCGAACCAACCAGTAATTACCCTCGCAATTTGTTTGAAAAAGTCCGCGTCACTAATTCACCCTCTGCACGCGCGAGCCGCACATGCATACGAACAAATACTTATTCGATTATATTATTTCATATTAATTCAGACCGCGCCTGTTAATCACCACTGATTATCTAATAATCTTCCATGCGTTTGACGCGTATTTCATATACGGTATCGCAAATATTTCCTGCGTACCGTTTGATTTCGATGAAAACCCATTAGTTGCACAACGGCTTCTATGCAGCGTGCGTACCTAGTTATGAACTGTTTCGTCGGGTCAAAAGGGAAGCTTCCTCGGCAGCTGGCAACACTTGCAACTTTCGGTCGAATTAAACTTGACGCCGTTCCCGCTCTCCGGAACGATCGGTGCGCAACGCGAAATTTCCCCGAGGGAGGAGGGAGGTGGGGTGAAAAAAGGAAAGGAGCCTCTGGTCCTTTATTAAATTTCCGCGGAGATCCGCGAAGCGTTGCCAGCTTTTTGGCTGTCTCCGAATTTATTAGACCATGTTTTTATTCGCAGTCACGGAATCGAGCCCGTCGCGCGCTGTCGCCGCCGAGTACCGGAGAGATAATAAAATAGTACTCGAAAATATCAGTCTCGTAATTCTCCGCGGGTCTTTGATTTATAACTGCGACTGGTAACAGTGTACCGAACTGAAATGTCCGAAAAAAAAAAGTGGGGGATGTAACGAGAACAACAGGCAGTAAATATGAATTTGAGTACGCGGGCTGGTGTTGATAGCTCCCAGCGACGAAGTATTAATGTATTTCACTCGGTCGTTGCGCGGACGAGCCGCGCCGCCTAATTTCGCGGATCCGCTCTCGACGGCACGTGACCAGATAGGCCGGACGATAAAAAAAGAAGGGACAATGCTCGCAATCGATGCCGCTATTGTAAGAGCTGACGTAACCACCTACCGGGCGAGCTTTCTGCAGAATCGCCCCTATAAGCGAAAATCAGTCCTCGTTCGATCGGCTCGCGGAATGTTGCGAAATTCCGGGACGATTCGGGTAGTAGCTTTTCATTACGCGAGATCGAATTCCAAAATCGACATTTCTGCTCTCATAGGCACTCGAACGAGGAAAAATGTTTTAAATATTTCACAGGATTTCGGATTTTCGAATGCACTTTGGATAGTTGCAGTTATTATTGAAATCGGTGAATACCTGAAGTAATTCGTGAATGTTTAGGACCGTATGATATATCACCGGCTGAGATGAGCATGCTTTTATCTGAAAAGAACGATGATCGATTCTAGCGAGGCTTTCAGGATGATTTCAACATGCTTCGAGTAATCATAAATCACAAAGAATGCTCGACTGACAAAGGTGCGAAGGGCTGGGATGCTACGGTTCGAGATAGATAAAAGCAGTGGGAAAAAAATAGATATTCAAAGAGCGTCGATCCATTCCTCCCCCCGTTTTTTTTTTCCTGTCTCTAATATCTGTTTCTCTTTATCAATCTGTGATTAAAAGCGTTCCTGCAGATAGAATTATCGTCGAACGACGTGATCGAGACAAATCGGAATTTCGAAATTCCTCCCATATTTCTCTTCGTTCTCTATGTTTGAATTTGATCGAATCATTCGTGACGCAAAAATACTTCGTACCAATATTATCTCACCGGACAAGGACGACGTTTGGTTCAGCGACGGTCGAATGTTTTTCCACGCAGAAAGAATAACGTATCGCCTTAATGCGTAACCGATGTTATTTTCGAAGAAGAATCGCAGGACGTCGAACAAAAACGTAGTTCGAACGCGACGCCGGACAGTCTGCGAACTGCTAACTGAAAATACATAACACGAAGTCGCATTATCGCCAAGAAACTCGTAACGGTTTGTCTCTTTCTTTAGTGAGACGAGAGAAGCCACGCAAGTTCCTTGAAATTTTTCTCCCAGCTCGCGAGAGCCAATCGTTACATTGAATTAAACTCGAATAAAATCCGAGCCAGCTAGTCGATGGTCGCGACGACCACGAGGCCGGTTCACGAGCTTGTTTTTCGAACCTAATGAGGTACTTCCATCGAATCTGCGATTTGTACTCCGCGGAATTGCCCGATAAAAGCGTAGACCAGGGAATTCTAACGACACATCGGATATGTTCAAAGAAATCCTTATAAATTATCATTCTGTGGTAAAGGAAATTGTAACTTGATAGGGACAAGGGAGTTGGCGATTATCTTGCCCGGGAAGTTAGTTTACCGTGGCCCGGCGCTCGGAGAGTGAAATAAATTGAACGAAATCCGTTAGACAAATTCCTGGCCGTCCGCTATCTACGGGGTCCACGGTAGCCAGAGGCTGATCCATTTATCGAGCCCGCGACGAAAATAGAGAGCGATCGTTTGCTCCCCTTATCCCAGATAAGTCGTTTAAAAAATCACTCGCCTGAAATCAATCTCACTACAAGCGTACCAAATAAATTTAAACCTGTTTCTCTTCGAACCACTTAATTACAGCATCTGTCGTTTCAAGTATTTATCGAAATCATTAATCATTGTACAATTACATTATTTCTTAACCATGTTACAGTATTATTTATTTTGTGTGACGATATTATTTTGTTATTATATATATATATGTATTGACGATATATATTGACGACAAAATATATATACAAAAACAATAAGAATTTCTTATCGAAATAAATTATGATCAATCGTTTAAGTAATTGTCCGATTTTTTTATAGACATACATTTACTGTAACGTTTGTAAACTCCCTTGCGTACGAGTACATGAAATTAGAGAACGCGGTAATTATTGGAGCGTGCGTTTAACGAATCAACGATTCATCATGAAACATTGTTCGTCGTTCATGAAAACACGCTTCATTTGCGTCCGGCGCAGCGCTTCGTTGCTAACGATTTTGAAAACGCGAGAACGGGCGAGCGAATTTTCTGTTTTGCAAATGCGTCGAGGAGCGGGGTGATAAATTCCGGGGTTGATAGAGAGCGCTTCAGGAGATCGCGCGCAAAATGTAAATTCAGCGACGAAGCACAATCGGCGCGGGCAATGAGAATCATTGAATCACGATGTAAACTGGAATGAAAACAAATTGAAACCAGGCTGACGCCTTCCGTTTTACATGATTTAAATAAGAAATTCATAATTTTCCATTCGATTCGTAGTTCTCACTATGTTTAATGAACATATCAATCCGCGGACGAGCGAATTATGTTTTAGTTTTGGAAACCAGAGTAATAATTAATGTATTCCCTGTCGGGTAAACGCCTTTCTTGTTGACGTAACGTGGCATAATTTATTCAGAACGAATCTGCCCGACGCGAGTAAATTCGGTAATCAGCAATCTGATTTCTCGCGCGCGCCGCATCTGTTCGGATTAATTCACGGTAATTAGTTGGTTGATTTGTAACGAATCTCAAAGCGACGTGCCGGCGACAGAGAACCGATGTTCATTCCGCGAGTTTTACCACTGTAATGATTATTTATGATCGCTGGATTGGCAATTACGGGCGCGTTTCATAAAGCGCGTGAATAATGCAACGAGAAATCTGGAGGATCGGGCTGCCATTAAAAGGTTCCATCAAGCGCTATAACCGCGGCGATGGTTTCCAAATGCTGCAGCATCCCGCGCAACATCTTAAATATTCCACAGGAGAGAAAAATTCAATTTGTCCATAAGCTCTTTTAATATCAAGCTAGTTTTATTCGAAACCTCTTGCGAGACCGCGCGTGGAAATGAGACCGCTTTGTGAAAAAATCAGGGACGAGCAAAAGTGGTCGTAACACTGGAAATCGTCCTCTCTCCTTTGGTTCAAATTTAATAACGCGTGTCATGAGTTTAAAACTGTTTTAATTAATAGTCTCTAGTTTAATGCATTTATGTAGTACAGAGAACATCTGCTGAAAACATACAAACTCTGTGTGCCTAAACCGCATCGTTTAATGTAATGAAATATTATATTTATTTCCTATAATAGTCACGCGATTAACACTAGAAAGACTGAAACTTAGTATATACC